GCTGAATACAAGTTGGAACATCCCAACCCCACATCAGCTTCATATTCCATTATAAACAAATCTACAAAACTGAACACCAAACCTACATAAAATCCTCAACTCAGGGAACAGAGCCGCCGATCACCGATTCCAATCACCCACCCCAGAAGAGCCAATCGACGACTCCCCACACACGCTCTTCCATCCACCAACGTGTTCACCCAAGATCCGCAGCCACGCCCATACAGCCACCCATGGCTTCACTCTAGATCCTTTCCCCCTCTTTACCCTTCATCCGCACTCGTTCTACCGTCAGCACACTAGAAGTTTTCAATGTGTTGAATGATTTTAGAAAAAAATGTGTTTTTGATCTTTGACCGTGACACAAACAAACAAACAGACAGACAAACTTTTTTTTCTCATATGACCCTCCCTACAGTCGAGGGAATTATTACGGTTCTTATCCATCTACAGTTAATACAACAGTGACAGACACTGTTTGCTACAATTTGGGTGCAATATGTAATTGGTTTAATATATTCCAAGTAACGGAATATAAAGAACATTACGTCTTTTGTCTTCTAACACCGGAAGGATTTAACTATCGTTATTTTACTGCGTAATTTAATACAATTCATAAAAACATTATTTGACATAAGATATTTTGATTATTTTACAACAAGAACAAACGGAATTTACTAATTTATTTATCTTTTGCTACTTTTGACTTACGTTAATATATCGATTGCTGAATAAGCAGGAGTTGAAATTAGTAAATTAGTTTATATTTTAATAAGATTAGTAATGTGAGTAGAATTGTCGTGTAGTGTGGGTGATTCTCTTATTGGAGTACCACTGCAACCTAAATAAAAAAAAACGAACATAAATGAGTACAAACATATTGAAAAAAGTAGGACAAACTTTTTCAGCAGGTATCAGTGGACATTTCCAATTGTAGAGATAATATTGAATATTACCATCGCCACTACCAAATTTAAGTTTTTCCATAAATTCCTTATTATCCATTATATCGAGCGCATTGAGCACATCGAAATCACTCTTGAAAGAAAAAAACCATTATGAAAATAAAAAGAAAGTGTTCGTTTTACATTCCTTACATTGTGTGCTTGCACAAGACAATCATTGACAAGATCGATCAATGGTGTTCGACTAGCAGCATAATAATACATGTAGCATGAATTCAATATCTTGTACTGCGGATGATTCATAATTGTCGATGGTAAATGATAGTATGATATGAAATCGGTTATTTCACCTTGATCGTTCTATCGAGAGAAAAAATTCAATTAGTTCGTGAGAAGAAAAAACCAAAGATGAAATTTTCGTTACTTCAACAACAAATGCACTCACGACGGTCGGCCGATTTTTACATAAGTATTCAAATTCTTCAAGGGAAAACACCGGTGCCAGATCAAATTTTGTCAGATACTAATCGAGAAATGAATGACATAGAATTAAATAGGAAAACGTTAGAGAAAAGTGATATACTTGCGTGAGTAATTTCCAAGCTTGTGGTATATCAGCATCGCGCATCTCACGAAAGCCTGCCACTTGTGTTGTCTATTCGAATAAGAAAAAGCGCTAAAAGATTGATTTTGAAGGCAAAGAAATTAAAATGGTCTATTGTGGAAAAGAATATATCGAGCACACGGAAATCATTACAATTACTTTTAAAAAGTGGGTCCAATGCGAAATCTCTTAAGAATTTATGTGAAATCTAATAAAATCGTTCATATATATATATATATCCGTAGATACTATATACTTTCCTATTTTAAATTACAGCCTAAATCTATCTTTTTGCCATCAAGATAGACTTGGAATCGGCAAAAAACAGTGAAAACTGACTCATGAGAGCCAATAACTTGACTGCCGAGACGAATGAAACATACAAAATAATAAGTATTTTCACTGCTGATTACTGATGCGACCTTTGCAATAAAATCTTCTTTTTTTCTTCTATTTGCTCATGAAAGTACGATTCCTGCGATAGATAAGAGCTTATCAAGCTCCGCTGGTTTGAAAATGGCTGAGTAGACGACAAAAGAATGTTGTCTAGTTCTTAATATAAAGATGTCCTTGCGTTATTGAGTTATTCACTCCACTTCTATTTCAAAATGAGCAATGGTATCTCTATATCTTAGTTTTCGAATGCAGATATGCGATAAACCAGAATTGAACTTCGATGAATCGTCCAGAAGTGTGAAATGAAAATATACGGGTGTTTTATTTGACGCAATCGCGAACTTCTTATTTACAGGGCTAAATCTTCGATGGCAATACTAATAATTTAATAGCTAACATTGAAAAAAGAAAACTCTTATCAACTCATTGTTTTGTGATTTGTTAACCTGCATATGAACGGTACAAACCTCAGGTAATCGATGGACTTTTTGCATCCGTTGTACTGTCATATTTCGTCCTAAATAGGAAAATTCGACTGCCAATGCTTTTTTGACATTGAGCACTCGATGCCAATATCTAAATTTAAACGTATAGAAAGAATTCGAACAGATAATATCTTTTTGGAAAACAATTCATACCTACATTTGCTGGCAATACCCGGAAGGAAAGGAGCGGCTGTATAAACGGCTTGAAAATATCCTTCGAAATGTCCACGACGCGTTATCTCTTTAATAAGTACAGGTGACAATCGTTTAAGTCGTAATTTTTTGTGAACACACAAAAAGTTTATATCTACCATTGGTAGTTCCCTGTTGATTTTTAAACAAAATTATTAAAAAGAATCATGCGACGAATTAATCATAGTTACTTATCATAGACTCTAATTCGAACTGGAACAGCACTGATAAAACCAACCAATTTCCCACTTTTCGTTACACGAACTCCTACATGAAATTTTTTAAGCCAACCTGGTACGCATAAAGCCCTGAAAAGATCAAAATACAATAAAAAAAAGACTTCTTTATGAATTACACTGAAATTACCATCGTAAAAATGGCATGGAATATTTCAACCGAAAATCATTGCCATCATCTTCAATATAATTATCGTCCAAGAATGTACATAATTCCTCTAACTACAAAACAAAATGTTAAGTATATCACATATGAAATCATAATAAAAATATTTCAACGTACCTGTTCATCAACATGAACATCAACATCATCCCAAGAAAAGCCATCAGGTAATTTATAGGATTCTTGCTGTAGTTCGTCTTTTGATTTATTTGATTCGATAGGTCCAACATTATCTGTGTCAATTTTTGCACCAATCGTTGATACCGGTTGTGTTTGCCAAAATTTCCATTCTTGTTTCAATGCTGATTTCTCGTCATATTTTGATGCATTTGCATTATTACTGGCAGCAGTTTGTTCGGCAACTGTCATTTGTTTCATTAAATTTCGCATTGATTTATCTGTAAGTTTTTGCTAAAAGAAAAATTTTTTATAGATTCCTTTTAACGCAAAGAAAGCTTTTCTATTCACATTGATTGCACCACTATTTGTATTATTGCCATCAAGGGTGTCGGTCGTGGCAGCAGCGGTTGGTTTGCTTTTTGTTTTTTTGCTAGAAGACTTTGATGCTGTTAATCCATCAGCCGTAGAACTGTCTCCTTCATCGTTTTGATCGGTCATGATTACAGATCTATAAGTGAATGAGCAAGGCAAATTGACTTGACATTGTTTTAGCGTCTCCTGTGTGTTTTTCAATAAGGTAGGATTGCTAGTCTAGCGTTTTACCCTCCTCTTCTATCATCCGAATCTGGGACTGGTAATGGAGGAGATATGATTTATTTTGTTTCATATAATCCTGCTAATTGAATAAACATTCTGTCACTTGCAACGCATTATACATTCATAATTTTGACAGCTTTAGTTAGGATATGAGAATTTTGAATATAATGGATAGCGATTATGGTAAAAAAAAGGAAAAAATACAAAAACTCTCAAGCGTCGCCAAAGCGTGATCGACTGATAGAATGAACTTACAAAAAACAAGACCGATCGCTTCATTGAAAGAAAAAAAAGAAATAAAATGCAAGACCTTACTCTCTCGGTTTATTACCAATATAACCTATCCATAGTTGTGAAATTATTAACTTTTTTCAATAAAGTTTTCACCTATTAATGCAATACTGTCATATCGTTTTGGTTATTTTAGTATCTGAGTATAAATTATAAAATGGCCGTTCCTGTTCGTTATGTATCAATACGTTGTGAAAGAGTGAAGATTGTGCATACGAGAGAAGACGAGCGAAAGGCATACAGAGCGAAGAACAAAATCATCAAAGTGTAACGAACAGTCGTAATCACGATGCACATTTGCTATCGAACGAATAAACTATGGACGATTCGTTATCATCGCACTTGATCATTTTAACAGGTGGCTCATAACGAAAGAGCCTCTCAGTATTTTGTGTGTAGCCCTTTTTCTCGATGTTTAGAGCTGTTTGTTTCACTGAACGATACGCCTGGAAATTCTCTGCAGAATATTAGAATAAACTTCTAAATGTAATATACTGCGAACATAAAATGTACCTAATTTTCAAAGCTAATAACTGTTTTATAAGTAATCAATATTTTTATCTATGCGTTTTTTTTTACAAATAAATTACACTAAAAGATGCAGCGTGGGAAGTTCTACAAGATTCATCATTGATTATAGTTTACGCATAGGCTTTTTATTTTCAAAACAATTTGCAGCTATTTTTGAGTTTACAAGATATCACTCTGTATGCACATTCAAAATTCATTATTCTCATTTCATCTTTATTCTACCTGATGTCTTTTAGGACAAGAACTCTGCATAGATCGCCAGATGCGCTTCGAGAAGCGCTACAATTTGCACAACAAGTCATTCTATACAAACACATCAATTGCTTTCGAATTACGCAAAGCTTATTGTGCCAATTTCACCGGAATGAATTTGATCATTGTGATTGGATGATTATATCGAAGCAGGATAAAGTGACGACAGAAAAGGATCTCGTTCTATGTCGATTTTCTGCATTCAAACCGCAAAAAATTTCTTCGAATTGATTTCATCGATATGATGCAATCTGATTACACGTGAACTGTTGATGTTGACGGAACTTTTCTGTTCAAGTCATGATAGTGATGGTGTTGGATGCCACCACAAAAGCTTTCAAATGGCCGAATGTCTGCACTTTGTTCACCATTTCCTTTACACACGACTTGTTTTTGTATAGGTGACCAACACTCTTTTGGTCCTTCGCATCTTATTCGATGTTTATCACTGAGCGAACAGCTATTTGGATGATCTACATCATCGTACTCGATACAATCGTTCAAAGTGTCTTCAATGCGACTTAAAGAAATCGTTTTAGACGAGCATGAGCATTGATATAATGTGGGATAATTTGAATCTGTGATCACATTTTGAATAAAAATTTTACTGATTAAACAGCGACAGAATCCTCGCTCAGTCCATCAAACCATTTGGCTACATGGGTCCTAAAAGTATTGTCTCATGCTAGCCATTGCTTCCGTTCGTTCAGACAGGTAAGATTTTCATCGGAAATTGAATCAGCTGAATTGAACTCACAAAGTTCTACATTGTAACATATGTAATCAGACAATGAATTGTTCGTTAGACTATCACGATACTAAACATCTGTGTAGTAAAAACGAACGTGATCTGAACAAATTGCAACCATCTGAAATTGAAAGAGAGTAGGGCACTGTGTAAGAAGTGAACTACTGAAATCGTTCGCTAACCACATGTCGCATGATATTTCATTGATTTGGTTAACAAGTTTAATCAAACAAGCCATTGTCATCCAGCACTCTTTATTTAAACCACCTTGTTACAATACACATACCATCATGGCATCGATATTCGTCTACTTCGCATTCATTCATTTCCAATGCGAAGCAATTTTCTTCATCGATGGTGACAACATCATTTTGTTCCATGACTTCATTATGATTGTTTGCTTTGAAATGTTGCATCCACAATATCTTCAAAAGACGTGTTTTGCTTGAGACGAGATCCAAATGAGGGTGTTTGTGATTGTCCTGCTATGATCGTCCAATAAGACTTGTCATTGATGTGAGAATCCATTTACATAATAATTATAGAAAGTCGAATCTAATCGGTATGAAATGTTGTATACGAGTTCATTTCATCCAAATGTCACTCCCAGATCGGAGATATCATTAATCGGTACAGACTTTTGTAACTCTTTATAGAAGGCCTGGCATTTTCAGAAGACAAGTGAAGTCAAACAGTCAGTCAAAAATGGCTTGATTTGACTTATCTATCTGTCCTTCATTTATAACACATAATAATTTTTTTCTCGTATCTTCAAATAGATTCTCTTAGTTTCAGTTGTTAAACGTTGAAATACGATCGCAAAAAGATCTTTCTTTTTTATTCTACCAATGAAATATTTAGTTTTATTTCCGAAATCAAAGCAAAACGACAGATGTTCATAAACATTTATAATATATTTTAAAAGTTCCTTCTTTTTTCTTTCAATATTTTTATTGTATATTTAACAACAAAATCCTCTTGAAAAGTCTTCATTTGTGACGTCAATCGTTAGGTTTTGTTTCTTTCTTTTAAAACGGAATACTCTTATCAAATTGATGTCAAAAAAAGATCGATATCAATGTAGAAAATTTTCATTGAACATGACAAAAACGTTTCATCTGAAGATTTTTCTTAATTTGAATTTGCTTTCTTATATCATCTGTGCACCACCATTGAATCTTTATTTTACAGCAAATGAAACAAATGAATATGAGTATAATGATGAATTACAGATCCGTTGTAATAGTTTTTGATTAGCTACAAATTTAGAAGATGTTGACATCAATTGATTCACTTCAACTTAGTTTTTAAGTGAATCTTCACAGCAATTTCATATTGAAAATGAGCTTTCAATACAAATCTATTCATTTATTCAGTTTGAAACAATGAGTATTCGAATTGAAGATTTATATTCTTGGTCAGCACCAATTGATATTATTGAACAATATGAAATTTATTTCGAAACAAAAAATTTTTTATTAGCAGAACAAAAGTTTTATAATTGTACATTACCAAGATTTGGTTCAATGTGTCAATATGAATTATATTTATATCATAAGAGTTATTCATTATATGAAATTATTCATAATTACTATCGTTGGTATTCATATAAACCATCTAATATAACTTGTTATCAACAGTTAAAACATAATTGTGATTTTTCATCCATATGTTTAAGTTGGACAGAGATTTGTAATGGAATAGTCGATTGTTTTAATGGAGAATATGATGAAGAACATTGTTGGCAACTTGAAATTAATTAATGTGAAGAAAATGGATTTCGATGTAATAATGGACAATGTATTTCTCAAGAATTTCTTAATGATGATGTATAAAATTCTGATTGTATTGATAGATCTGAAGAAAAATCAATTTCAAATAGTTTCCTTTCACCTTCATCATTACAAACAACATTTCGACTTAATGATGTTATATGTCAAGAATAATTTTTAACAAGTTCATGTTTAAATTACCTTTACACAATTTGATTATTTCGATATTTTTAATCAAAGATCAATCTTTATCAGAAGAATGTTCATCAGCTATGGAATGTTATTTCACCATTCCAACATCAATATTTTCGGATATAACATATGACATCATTAGAGAACTATGTATACCTAATATTAAAGAAAAATGTCCATCAATGTTTTATTTTCCTAATATTCCGATTTTCTTCGGTCATATTCATTTAACCTATAAAAAGATGAAATATCGCATCCCAACAAATCAGACGACTTCATACAATGATTATATTTCTCAATCATCAACAGGTAGCGCTCGCCGTGCCGACTCATTTAACCCTCGACTGTGAAGGACAGATATTTTTCGCGTCCCAATTGTGAGACAAATTGTTCTAGCAAATTTATACACGAAAAAACAATTCAAATGTTTTGCGCAGATATATTTAGTAACTTTCGAAAACAAAATACTCAATTTTATACTACTAATATAATATGCCATAAGAAGAAAGAAACGATGGCGCAATACACAGAAGTTTTATTTCTTTGTCTTTGTCAAATACCCATATATTTAATAGGCTTAACTCAATGGATTAGGATTACATCTGACACATGTGATTTTGGCTAATGTATCTTTTGATATCTCTATTTTTCCCTTTCGGTGCATTTAGATACGGTAGTACATACGATTGCTTGTAATCCTTTTATTACTCCAAAGATTAGTTGCGGCTGAATACAAGTTGGAACATCCCAACCCCACATCAGCTTCATATTCCATTATAAACAAATCTACAAAACTGAACACCAAACCTACATAAAATCCTCAACTCAGGGAACAGAGCCGCCGATCACCGATTCCAATCACCAACATCCGCCCCCCAACCCCTCCAAAGAATCATCGACGACCCCCGCCCACGCCCATACGCCCACGAGCGGGNATGTGAGGTTTAGCGATTGTGCCCGCCGACCGATTGCTTTTTTGGTTTGGTAAAACACCTTTTTTTTTTTCAGTGTATACTAGAAATAGCAATGATACATGATGGTAGTATTTGGTGGCAAACAAGATCCCACATGAGAATAAATCCATCATCGTAAGAACAAGGAAAAGGTACACCAAGAATTGGATTTTGTATAATCATATCTGGACAACTTTTGATAATAATGACTATAATATAATAGATAAAACAATACAGAAGAAGAATTATTATCGGTAAATAATGAAGAAGGAAACGTCGTCGTGCTGTTGACATCCATCGATCATGAAATATAAGTATATGTCTTTCAATGGTAGCCCAAGCAAAAAGTATTAATAAAGTTGAAAAAGATCCCAAATCGATTAGTGTCCAAAATAGAGAAAAACCCATAGAAATTTTCCAAGTATCTTGAAAACGATAATAATGCAAAACAAATGGAATATCTAATAATTGTGAGGTAAGATTGATGAAAATTAATACAATGATAACATGATTATTGAGAGCTCGACGCAGACGTCGATCAAATAAAAGACGATACAAAAGAAAAAATGTACATAAAAGAGATAATATGGTTAAAATAATAAGAAACCAAAATCGAAATAAAAGATTAAATGAAAATGACATTCTGAAATAATTTGATATTTTACGATGAGTTTGAGAAAAAGAATAATGAAGTCTCAGCAGTTATACTTCATATAAATACTAGAGAAAATGATGAGCGTTTTTTTTCTTCGCCTACAGATAAAACCTGAAAGACAATTAATTAAGAAGAGTGAACTCTGAAGATCTGACGAGAGAACTGCATTAACTGATATACTCCGTTTGAATTCATATTTTGTTCATAGGAAGAGTTTATAGCGTAGAGAAAACACTAAAAGGATTCATCCTATAATGCTTTTTTTCACAGAAAAACGGGCATAACAAGTTTCGGCCGAAATGGCATTACTATATTTTTCATGAGCTGTCTTACATGGTTCTTTTATCAAAGTTTTGCCGAATTTGTTCATCACTTCTCTAATAGAAAAGATACTTTTCGTTTTATGTTCACTTGTTCGAACATAATTGGCCAAGTAAACGAAATAATTAAACTAAGATGGAAATTTGATGAAAACTGGTGCTAAAAGAGACGAATATTGTCAACTAGAGTCGAATTAGTTTAACATTGATCTTATCTCGCAAAAAAGAAATTTCTTCATCACGTTTTCATTTTCATTATCATTGCGTCTTTGTTTTCAAAACAGTAGTCTGTTCTAAGCAGGAATAGTGGATGAAGATATAGACGTAGCACAAATATATATATATATTTACACCGACTTCTATAAATATCGAATCACCTATTTTCACTAGTCAGCTTCTATTTCCAGTACGACACCTAATGAATCTTATACCAAAAGAAAGCCCGCAAAAATAGGGTTTATTGATGATAAAAAATACGGGTTATGCAAACTTTTTTATATTGTAATCCTCAAAGTTTAGAGTTTTTCGTAACATTATCTTCAAAGCTAATTGTTCAACATAGAAAAGTATAATATTTTTTTGAGAAGTTGTAAACAACATTCTTTAGCGACCGTAACACCTAACCTCAACACAAAAGATACGATTTTTTTCTTGCAGTTTGTCGTTTGTCCCTCGTGACCGTGTCGATTATAACCAAGTCTTTGTCTTTATCTCTTACAAATGTACGAAAAAGAAAAAATCGAATAACTTATCGAACAAAGATCGTTTTTTTCGACGAATCGATTAGGTGTAATTCTTTTAAATGGCTGGCAATTATGATACCGAAGAGCAAAGAATTCTTGACATAAATATGTGTACCGCTCTTCGTGAAGCTCGAGATGCTGGTGCAACATTCATCAACCGAAACTGGATTGCAGAGAAAAGTCACCGTTCTGTTCGATTTATTACGAACCGGTGGCCAAAGCCGTATGGTCAATTTTTTGCTGATTATTCAAACACTGGTCCTAAAGTAAAACTTTCACAAGCCAGTCGGGAAGTTATCCTTGAAGCGAGTGATTAATAAAGAAAAAGTTGTTCGGTGGTAGCGAAATGAGATGTGAGGGTAAGTTTCAACCGACAATGCAAAGGATTTCAAGTAAAACAATCATTTCATTTGTCCACGAATGCACACAGGACATGTTCGAATAAGTACGAGAAACTTATTCGAAAAGAACATTTAACTCCTGTACTACCAGCCTGGGCCATTTTGGACCCACTCTATGAAATCAGTAATTTTGATAAATACTGGCGTGTGAAATCTAGTTTTAAAGTTTCGCTAGAATAAAATAGATCATCGTTTCGGGATATTCTGTACCTTGAATTAAAGGAACAGTCTTGAGACAAGTCTAAGCGAGCCCAGTACTGCAAGGGTTAATATATATTAATAGTTTATGGTAGTTATTTGTTCAAACTCATCCACACCCTCGCATTATTTATTGAAGAAATGGAGTCGATTTATTTTCTGGTAGATTTTCAAGCATCTAAGACACTATTTAGATCTTCTTTAAAGCCATATAAGTACAAATTGTGCAATCATCGTATTCTCCTGGCTTTTCACGAACTTCTTCTTCATATCGAGTCCAAATCTGATTTAAAACTTGTTCAGTATTTTCATTGGTTCTTAATCCAGTGGTCTTCAATGCCTGTTCAAGTGAAGACTCAGACCAACTTCGTATCCATTCCGTTTTTGCATGTGCAAATTCATCCAACGTTAACTTGCCGTCGCGATATTTTGCATAGAGTGGAGAAGCGATTCGAGCGAAACCAGCTTTGATTAATTGAAAGGAATGTCGAGCCAAGAGATCAGGATCAATACATTCTGCATACGAATTTAGGTAAGTTGAATAATTAAATTCTAGTAGCTCTTCAGAAGTCAAAAATGATTGAGCACATTTGTAGACTAAATGCAATGCTTGGTCACAACCAGTCGAACCCTGCTCGTTGACACAACAATGTGCAAGAATGAGAACACCACCGAGATGGAGTTCTTCAGCACGATATTTCAGAAAATTATCATAGTCTTGATGACCTTGAGCCTGAAATGCCTGGCGCTCTTCACCTGGTTCAGCGAATGCAGAACAGCAGTGCTTGGACAGGTTCATCGGTTTGCATGAGAGCCAGTGCAAAGCAGTAGATGAATAACCGACTGACAGCGACTGTGATGGCAGACATTATTCGTAAAATGAACGGCCACTAACCAAAGCATGACACCAACTCTCTTGAGCTAGAAGTTGAAAAAGTGATGTCCAATTGTTCGTTGGTAAATCATTGAAGATCACAAGAGTCTATCTGTGTTCGTCGATTTTTTTCGTTTCGCGAAGACATTGAAAAATGATTTTAATCGCCTGCAACGAATTAGAGCCGAGCGATGCACCAAAATCTGCAATCAAAACCAGCGATGAAGGAGGAAGATCTAGTCCGTTGATTGCACACTGGATGTAATGTTCCGAACCGACCAGAGTACCTAGTTGAGGTGCGGAGTTGGAGTTATAGCTATCAGCCATTCCTGTTGTTGCGCCAGTAGCCATACCCACGACGAAATGGTCGCTTTACTGCTTCGCACTAATACAAAAAGCGAGTATGGGTAGCTGAAGACAGAAGCGTCTGTCTATTCTCAAAAACTGGCTATAGGAAAGTTTTCAAATCAACTCTAAATCCTACTGATGATTGTTCTGGGAATCGCATCATCGATGCGACTTGCAAGCTGATTTTATAAATTTATTTAGCTTTTGCACATGAGGGATAGAGGCAAATATTTGATCTTATTCGACTCACCACACGGTCAGCAATGAAAATGTATATTGCGTTTTTTTCCTTTTCTTCCACATGAAAAAAACTGCTTTTACTGATAACTGGGTATGAATACAGATAAGAGAAGCACATGCTACTCACAACTCTTTCGTCCTCTCACATAGTGCGAAACGTAGGATATCTTAGGGACGAGTTCGACTTTTTCCAGGATTTATTCGTTTTTTTTAATGCGTTTCAACTCATAATTCTCATTGTTATTGATGTTCATGATCACACAATTCTGAAAAGCTGTCGAAATTGATTTGGAAGTCATAATATTGTTTGTTTTTCAAGAAGATTAAATACAACGGACTTTGCTCTGGTTACAAGCACGATAATAGTCTAAATAACACATGTATTGCAAGTACATAGAAAATGTTGTAGAACGCAAGAAATATCGCAATCAATGAAAAATTCTACGTATGGGAAAACCAAGCGGTTAAAATATGAAGAAAACAGTTACAATAAGACGTATTTACTAAAACCATAACACCCATACTCACCCACCCTCAATGGTGAATAAAGTCTAAATCAAGTTTTTATACTTTTAGTCAATGATAATATGCTGCGTTTAGATAGATATATAAATACATATATACAAGACGTCTTTTCGTTTTATTCAAATATATGCGGATTAAAAATAATACAAATGAAGTATCATTTTATATCAGCGTCTGACTGATCACTACTTAGTCGACGACACCGACTGTATCAGTGTTTCAATGCACAGTAAACCGACACCGCACACCCCTATGCGTTTGTCCCTCAAAAAAATCTATATGTGATGTTATCTCTATTCCCTACAGCAATTACATATTCCCACTCATTGCGTTGTTTCTTTTTAACAATTCGCTTCTTCCCAAAAAATGAATATATAATATTAATTATCATTATTATAAATACACACATGCTTTTCCGTTGATTCTATTGGCAAGTACACAACTTACTCCTAAAGGAAACATTTAATGGTGTAGCTATATACTATGTCCTAACAACAAAGCACTAAAAGAAAGAAAAAGAAACGATAAACGTCATTAAATGAATATTTAATGTTGAAACAAAGACTTATCTAGCCTTTTCTTTTAATGAAAAATTGTTATATATAATAGTAGATACTGAAAAAAGACTTCACCTAGTTTACCTGGGCTTTTTTCTAGTAATGATACCGTATATTTATATAATAATATAAATTTGACTGAAGCAATTGTATTTATGAAAACGTCCCCATTTAAAATGAATTCTTTTGTTTGAAGATTATTCTTATTAAGCCAGATTTCCTTAATGCTTTTCATTAATTAACATTGATCTACTACAAGGATTTAAAGTCTAGACATATATTTGTTTTTGAAGAACATTTGAACAAAGACAGAAGAAATTTTTTATGAACTAAACAAAAAAATAATCACTATAATTGAGACAAAATTTTCTCAAAGGAAAAAAATTTAAAAGAACTTTTTACATTATACAGATGGATAGCAATAGAATATATATAATGTATGAGAAAAAGAGAAAGGAAGCCATAAAATATCTACCTCTCACACAAGATGGTATGCAGCTTCATTCTAACTTAAATTCATTTCATTAACTTTTATTCTTGTTGATGATGAGTTTGAAACGAATTTTTCTATTACTGCTATATGGTTGTATTGTAAAAGCAGTTACACAAGATATTCGATCAGTTCGTATGTTTAAAATGACGGGATGGCAATTATCGTGTGCTAATACAACATGTTTACCATTTGCTACGACGACCGTACTGAATATTCGGATATGTCAGACAGCTTGTTTAAATCAAGCTAAATGCAAAACAGCCACTTTTCATCAATCCTCTTCTACTTGTGACTTATTTTCCAATATACCGAGTTTAAACGGAAGTTTGGTGGCTGATATGAGTTCTGTTACTATGCTTGTCATGGCTGGAACAAGAATTCCACCAGGTTAGTATGGGTGCGAAGGGGATAGCTACTGTCTACGTAAAACAACGGTAAAAATGTTTGATTTTAATCTTAATCATCGAAATTCTTCGTGAATAGATGAATACCAAAATTCCCTAGTTTGTAGCGAGGGTCATATGAAATAAAATTGTTTGTTTTTTTGTTTGTTTCTGTCAAGGTTAAAGGTCAAACACATATTATCGGCTATTTTGATGATATTCATGGCTCCTTCTAAGGCGCATTTTAGAACTACTACTGGGTCTACTAATCGCGTATTGTGCGATATTTTTCATTCCCCATATGATACCTTTTCCCAACCGATCCATGAGCCCTCATATGACCCACTATGGGCATACAAATGGGTCCGCATGTGGCGTGGTATCTATGGATTTTCAGGTCCTTCACTGTGCAGGTTCCTAAGCAGCGTATTTTAAGGACTGGCTTAGAAAGTAATAGTTCACACTGCAACAAAAATTTGAATTGTTCGTCCGTACAAAGATGCTGGACTAGTTCGCATTACTAACGACATAGAAAACTAGTTTTTTCTTGCGCAGTCGAGGGTTAAGCGAGCTGTAATGACGAACGTTACTTGTGATATCATTCTTAGAAATGTGACAAGAGTAACGGAGATTACTGTTCTACTGTATTTGCTCTTTGTCGACGACACGATTCTGAAGAAAAAAGTCGAAAAGTTCGCTTAATTGTTGAGAAAACCCTCAAACAATGTTTTTGTGTACTCAAAAAGTGAGTATACTATAGAATCGGTCAGTACGTCCGTCTGCTGGTTAGTCCGATAACTCCTGAAAGAATACTCCAATTGTCATGAAATTTAGTACATAGCAGTACATTGTCAATGTCGCAGACGAGTTTGAAGATGAGTCCGATCGACTGTAATACTACTAACTTACAAAAAAAATGATCAGATTGTTATGTCTTCCATCTGATACACTTTTTGAAGTACACATAACTTTCGGATAAAGTCCGAAGTTTTCGCATTTATTTTAAATATGCGATGAAAAATCGATTCTTTTTCTATTAACGAATTAAAATAAATAACGCTCGTCGAGATTGACTTCTAAAAGCAAAATCATTATCCCAAACGATTGCCAAGCATCCTAGGGCAACTACTCTCGCTCTTCAATCCAGCAAGCATGTGATTATCAAAAGAAGCTTCACTTATCTGAAAAGACTTGCGATTGCCTATGAATCAGCACTCAAAAATTGCTCAATTGTTCCTTGATGTGAGAAGAACTAATACTATCAACTAACCGCTCCAAACTCTCCCCAATCACTCAGCTTACTGATCGATTCCATCATTTCTGTGAAGTCCTCAAGATAGTGATGGCTTAGCATTAATGAAAAAAAAATGCTAATACTTTTACATTAAATTAAAAAATAATTTAATGCTTTGGTATTAGACTTAAAAATTAATTGAATACTTTGACATTAGTATGAATTTAGTATTAGTCTAATACTAATATCTGCTACATTCATGTATGTCGTTTTCAAATGGATCCTTTCAGTTCTAATATCACACTCTGTTTGCGAAGTTCTTACATTGCTTGTTTTACAAGACCAATAAACAGAATTATTAGTTGATTTCTGACTGAGAATACTCTTTATTTTTTATAGTTAATAAGAACTAGCGAGAACTGTGCGTTGTGGTTGCATTTCCACATTGTAGATAAGCAGAGAAATAGGTTATACTCGACACAAATTTATTTAGTCATAATTATCGAGGTAACTCGAGATAAACACTCAAACTATCCATATAAATCATCTGTTTATTTCAGTGTTATCATGTGAGAGCCAAACAAGTATAGAATGTCTTCACTAGATGTGGTTTCTTGCATTGTCTCTTGACTTAACAATATCAATATTTTTTCACTTAATTTTATTCTATGGATATTTTTAGATATAAACTCATTGTGACAATCTATGATTGTACACTTCTTCTTTTTCCTTAAGCACTGATGATGACCTTGCTATACGTTTCTTTCCTCTTCCCTCATTCTCTCTTCATCTCTCATCTTCTTCCTCATTCTATACACAACAATTATCTCATTTCTTCCCTCCTGCTTGCGCTCAAATATTAGCCTCTTAGCCGATGCACTTTATAGAGAGATATTGTTGACACATCTNCAAATAAGTACGAGAAACTTATTCGAAAAGAACATTTAACTCCTGTACTACCAGCCTGGGTCATTTTGGACTCACTCTATGAAATCCGTAATTCTGATAAATACTGGCGTGTGAAACCTAGTTTTAAAGTTTCGCTAGGATAAAATAGATCATCGTTTTGGGATATTCTGTACCTTGAATTAAAGGAACAGTCTTGAGACAAGTCTAAGCGTGCCCAATACTGTAAGGGTTAATATACGTATATTAATAGTTTATGGTAGTTATTCGTTCAAACTCATCCACACCCTCGCATTATTTATTGAAGAAATGAAGTCGATTTATTTTCTGGTAGATTTTCGAGCATCTAAGACACTATTTAGATCTTCTTTAAAGCCATGTAAGTACAAAAGGTACAATCATCGTATTCTCCTGGCTTTTCACGAACTTCTTCTTCATATCGAGTCCAAATCTGATTTAAAACTTGTTCAGTATTTTCATTGGATCTTAATCCAGTGGTCTTCAATGCCTGTTCAAGTGAAGACTCAGACCAACTTCGTATCCATTCCGATTTTGCATGTGCAAATTCATCCAACGTTAACTTGCCATCTCGATATTTGGCATAGAGTGGAGAAGCGATTCGAGCGAAACCAGCTTTGATTAATTGAAAGGAATGTCGAGCCAAGAGGTCAGGATCAATACATTCTGCATACGAATTTAGATAAGTTGAATAATTAAATTCCAGTAGCTCTTCAGGAGCCAAAAATGATTGAGCACACTTGTAGACTAAATGCAATGCTTGGTCACAACCAGTCGAACCCTGCTCGTTGACACAACAATGTGCAAGAATGAGAACACCGCCGAGATGGACTTCTTCAGCGCGATATTTCAGAAAATTATCATAGTCTTGATGGCCTTGAGCCTGAAATGCCTGGCGCTCTTCGCCTGGTTCAGCGAATGCAGAACAGCAGTGCTTGGACAGGTTCATCGGTTTGCATGAGAGCCAGTGCAAAGCAGTAGATGAATAACCGACTGACAGCGACTGTGATGGCAAACATTGTTCGTAAAATGAACGGCCACTAGCCAATCCCTGACATCAACTCTCTTGAGCCAGAAGTTGGAAAAATGATGCCCAATTGTTCGTTGGTAAATCATTAAAGATAGCAAGTATCTGCCCCTGTTCGTCGATTTTTTTCGTTTCGCGAAGACATTGAAAAATGATTTTAATCGCCTGCAACGAATTAGAGCCGAGCGATGCACCAAAATCTGCAATCACGACCAGTGATGAAGGAGGAAGGTCTAGTGCATTAATTGCACACTGTATGTAATGTTCCGAACCGACCAGAGTAGCTAGCTGAGGTGCGGAGTTGTAGTTATAGCTGTCAGCCATTCCGGTTGTTGCGCCAGTAGCCATATCCACGACGAAATGGTCGCTTTACTGCTTGGCACTAAAACAAAAAGTGAGTATGGGTAGCTGAAGACATAAGCGCCTGTTTATTCTCAAAAACAGATTACAGGAAAGTTTTCAAATCAACTCTAAATTCTACTGATGATTGTTCTGGGAATCGCGTCATCGATACGACATGCAAGCTGATTTTATAAATTTATTTAGCTTTTGCACGTGAGTGATAGAGACAAATATTTGATCTTATTCGACTCATCACACGGTCAGCGATGAAAATGTATATTGCGTTTTTTTTCTTTCCTTTTCTTCGACATGAAAAAAACTGCTTTTACTGATAACTGGGTATGAATGCAGATAAGAGAAGCACATGCTACTCACAGCTCCTTCGTCCTATCACATAGTGCGAAACGTAGGATATCTTAGGAACAAATTCGACTTTTGATTTGAAAGTCATAATATTGTTTGTTTTTCAAGAAGATTAAATACAACGGACTTTGCTCTGATAGTTCTTCATATGATTGCTTATTTCGATAAACGAAGAATGATGACACTCTAACTAAAAGATAAAGATCATATTTCATAAACCTAAGCAGCTGTATTTTATCGAATTTACGGGTGACTTATCAAGATATTTATTAATGCAAACTAATTCAAGAATATAAACAATATTCTGTTAAAAACTACGTTCATTTCGAAATAAATGACATTTTATATAGATCGTACACGAGAGAAATAACATCAAAACGACAAAGAGAGAATGATTACGTCGAACTGACAAACAGAGAAGAAGTGAATACGTCGAAGTGTGCAAAGAGAAATGATATCGAAGTGAATAAAAGTAAAATTGAATATCAAGACCGAATATGGAGAGACAAACAATGAAAATGACTAAATATATAAATATCTACACAAGGAGAGAGTGAATACATTCTCGAAATAGCAGAGAGATATCGAAAGAAACTTAAGTGACGAGCTATTGCACGCCACATGATGGATATATTGTAAGCGACGAAAGCAGAGTAAAAAAATCGTCTGAAGGAAAAGAAAAACGGATAGTGGTTACAAGCACGATAATAGTCTAAACAACACATGCATTGCAAGTACATAGAAAATGTTGTAGAACGCAAGAAATATCGCAATCAATGAAAAATTCTACGTATGGGAAAACCAAGCGGTTAGAATATGAAGAAAACAGTTACAATAAGACGTATTTACTAAAACTATAACACCCATACCCACCCCCCCTCAATGGTGAATAAAGTCTAAATCAAGTTTTTATACTTTTAGTCAATGATAATATGCTGCGTTTAGATAGATATATAAATACATATATACAAGACGTCTTTTCGTTTTATTCAAATATATGCGGATTAAAANTTCCTGATTTTCCAATAAATTGATCGTGATGGTCGGTGTGCATGTAAGCCGAACACATTCGATTCTTGCAACGCCAGTATTTTACTTTTGGTCGAGTTCGATTTAATTGATAGATATATCCATCACAAATCAAGATTGGTTTGCCCTTGTTACTGATTGAAAAAGTGAGAGTGGATGTGATCGACATGGTGGACGTGTAAAAGTAATAAATTTACCAGTGAATGAAATAGAATGATATGTCGGACTTATTTATAGGGCGAACGTACAAAAGAGTTGTTAAAGAAGAGAAACGATTTCTTCAGTCAGACAGAAACATAGTATTCGTTTCTATATCTAGGGTCACATGTACAAAACAGACTAAAAGAAACGCGAAGAATGTTTGCAATAAAAGCTTAAAACACTCTCCACTTTTATAATCTCTTTCGATAATTATATAATACGACATTTGTACTTGTCGACGATCCTTGTTGTCGACGATCTTTGTTTGTCGACATTTGTACTTGTCGACGATCCTTGCTGTCGACATTTGTATTTGTCGACGATCCTTGCTGTCGACATTTGTATTTGTCGACGATCCTTGTTGTCGACGTTTGTACTTGTCGACATTATGCTTGTCGACGTTTTATTGTCGACATTATGCCTATCGACATTTTTACTGTCGACGTTTTTCTGTCGACATTTTACCACTAAATCGATATTGGTTCTAATGAAATTATATACACTTATTTGTGAAAAGTAGTTGTTCTCTGTGAATTTGAACATAATTAATCATGTCCAAAAACTAATAATCTATATATGGGTGAATTGCAAAATTATTGTACCGTTCGTAGTTCTATATATAAAATTTAAAAAACTTGAGTTTCTTTTGGCCAATCTTTACGAAAATTTTTGACAATACTTCCCTAGTTAAGGCTGACTACCACCCAAAAAATCCTGTTCATATCGTTATCCTATCCCGAGATACTATATTTACAAGTTTAAAATAATTGATTTCTAGTGCCTCCTATAGACAAAAAATGACCCATTACTGATTGGTTTTTACCATTTGAATTTGACAGTTACTGACACTTCCAGTGGACAGTATATATATATTATGAATATGAGGCTGAATGGTTCTTCCATCGAAGTTCATATTATACTTTTTCACGAATATTGTATGTACCGACTATGATTCATATTATGTCACACGAGATTTCAAAACGTCTTTGCTACATAACAAAGCGTTCAAAATTGGTCGGGTTTGCTTTGTATGAAAGCTTATCAGAGGGGAATACTACTGCGAAAAACAATCTGAAAGTTTAACATAATCTTGTTAAGAAAGGGGCATAGTATAAAGTTTTGATATGTAGTTGTCACACTAAATGTCACACGAGATTTGATATTTTGTGTGTCATATAAACATTTGTAAACAACGGCGGATTGAGCCGAAACTTTTATCATTTTATCTGCTAGTTGTGGTCAGATATTGCTGAAAAAATCACGTTTGAAAAATGTGTCTTTCGCATACTAGACAAGAAAACAGTGTAAAAATGTCACACGAGATTTTTGAGAAAGCTGGTAGATCAAATTTCCATGCAAATAATGATCTCGCGACTATAATTAAAGAGGATTAAGGTTATGTTTTTAGCTTTCAAGTGTCAATGGCTGTCATGAATCATCTGAATTACCTCTGCTACATTTCACACAAGCTGACAAAATGGTAGTAACAGAATGTAACCTGTACTTGTCACTGCTTTTGGAACTTCGTTGTAAAAGTCAAAACAAAATATAATTTAGAATAAATTGCAGCATTTTAGCATCTAGTTTTAGATAAGCCATGGTCTCCCATGTCAAGAAAAAGCGTCAAGCTTATGATCTCACCTACTATCAAAAGTTACAATACAAACATTCTCAATCGAAATTATTTAATTCTGAATACATGAAAAAAACAGAATGGCAGACAACAAAAATGTAGACGACTAAAAAATAGAGCACAGCAGACACCAACCAATGCTACTGAATCGACAACGACTGCTACTGAAGATACGTCAAATGCAACTGAACCACCAACAAACAGAACAATCTTACGAAAAGCTGAAGGTATTCGACGTCGTCGGACGTATACAAGGCAAATGAGAAACGAAAATGATAAATTATCTAATGAATTAAAATTATTACGTAAAGAAAATGCAAAGTTGATAAAAACTCTGTCTCAACAGCGTTCAAAAAATATTGGAAGAAATGATATAACACCAGATGTATCACCAACCAAGTTATTTATTGATAATATCAGCCCAAAAGCAAAAAGTCGTGCAACTAAACGTCTTATCGAAAAAAAAGAACAATTGCCTCGTGGTTATGTTTCCACATTTAGACGAAATTTAGGTGTTAACTTATCGAATGACTATTCTTCATCACGTAATATATCATCAGCAACATTACAAAAAGATATAGAAGAATTTCTATGTCGTGATGATATTACAAAACAAGCACACGATAAAAAGAAACACTCAAATGGAAAATAAATTAGATACCTGCTGAATCATCTATCAACTATTCATCAACGATTTGTATCCGAAACAAGTAACAACTGTCATTATTCAACGTTTACACGTTATATTCCTGATTATGTGCTGAAACCAGGTGCTGACGATTGGGGCACTTGCTTATGCGTTGTTTGTCTCAATCCACAACTGAAGCTGGAAAAACTACAACGTATAAAATTTTTACATCCAGTTGTCAAGGAATTACTTTCTGATGGTTTAACTGATATAACCGATTTAGTTACCGATGAAATCAAAACAAAAGATTTTTTGGATAATTTACTTAAACTTAAAGATAAAAAATTCAACATTACATATATTGAATGGATAAAGAAAAAAATGATAAATCTAATGTACCTGTATCAACGAAAACAACATTTACATCATCTATTGTTGACTTTACAACCAAATTTTCAAAGGAAATCAAAGTAAGTGTATAGAGTTTGGTCGTGAATATTACATGTCATACGATGGCGTTTTAACTCTATTAGATGTGTTTGTATTTTTGTTGAGAGAGCGGAACTTTAGAATGAATAGATTATTATATAGACATTTGTTCTAAAATAATAACGAAAAAAGTTCTCATCTTATTTAGGAGTTAATATCACATATCGATCGTGTACATCAGCAATTCCGTGCTGCGAAAGAAGTGAGGCAGATAGCGATGGAACAGGAAGATACAATTACAATACATTTGGACTGGTCCGAAAACTTTAAACTGAAGCAAGCACGTCGAGAAAAAGGTAAGTAATCTATAACTCGATTGTGATATAAAAATAAGATTTTTGAGTATCGGACCGGACTCGAGCTTTATTGATTGTGTTGAATGATTTAACACTTTAAAGATTCGTTACTAATAAAAGCGATATTTCTTGTAGCATCATATTATTACGAGCATCACATATCAATCTTAAGTGGTTATGTATGGAAGAAAAATGATTGCTTTAGTTTTGGTTCTATATCGGATGATACTAACCACATGTTTGAAGCTACTTGGGCTGCTTTACAGCCTTTGCTAGACTTATTCAAGAATGACGTGAACACAAAAATAACAAATTTAATTTTTATATCTGACTCACCGGTGTCTCAGTATCGCAACAAAACCGCCTTCTATTGCTTAAAAAAATATGCTACTGATCATCATATGACAATGAAATGGATTTATCTCGCAGCTGGTCATGGTAAAGGCGTGGCGGATGGCGTTAGCGCTGCTATCAAGAAAAAGATGGATGACGCTGTCACTTTTCATCCCGATGAAGGATTTAATAATGTTCTCGATCTGTTTAATGTCATTAAAGATAAGACAAACATCAAACATTCCACTTACAAAACAGAAGACATTGATTTTGTGGCAAAAATTATACCAACGTTAACAGCTGTAAAAGGAACTGCAACTCTTCATCAAGTAACAGTCAAAATAGATGGAGAATTATATGGAAAAGATACTTCTTTTAGTCGTGAACGATTGCTGTGATCAAATTTTTAACTATACAATTATTCATTAAACTATGCATACAACTGTAATCACGGAAACTTATTTCTTATTTATAGTCTGTTAAAGAAAAGAGAGTAGTAGAATAGTTTTTTGTCTCCACTGTAGCTATTTGTTTATTATAACAAATGATTTTGTTTTAATATCTCTGTCAACAAACTTAGTGAAAGAATGTCTTTAATATTGTGAATCAAAACCTTTTTACGAGTACACTAGATCGCATCGTAGGTGAACCGTACCATAACCTACTCTGAAAAGTAGATTTGCGCGTGCCACTGCATATAAAAAGCTCTTTCTATATCTAATCGAAAATGCTAGATATATATCTGAATGAATTCATACTTTAACAACTTTTTTTAAATATATAAAAAATTCATATTTGAGTTCCTATCATGTATTTTTGAAAATCTTTTGTAACTCGACTAATCGAAGAGCGGTAGTTGGGAAAATTGGTGCATAGTCTACCCTTATATGGTAGACTTAGATGTGCAACTCACAATCCTTAAAACAGAAGATTTTTGTTTTGTCGATTTTTTCCTCCAAACGGTACAATAATTTTGCAATTCACCCATGTATATATTGCGTAATTCAATTAATTTTCTCCCTGCTCATTTTCTCTTTTTATCTACTATATATAGCAAGATAATCCGTAACGGGTGGCATCTTTTGGCGCTTCTGTATAAGGGGACTACACCCCCTTTCTAAACGGAAAAGAATCTTTTTTCCATTTGTTTTATTTGGTATAAATGTCATATAATGGGGAATATGATTTTGCACGAAAATCATTTATATTAAAACTGTTTAGTTTGTAACAAATTGATATTAANACGTTTCTTTGACCTCCAGAGATCTGCAGTGGTTGTTTATTTCCTTTCAAGGAGGCAGTGTTTTACTCCGGTTGTACGATATTAACCATAGACCTTTGAGCTTTCGTTCATGAATCTATAGATGCGGAGTCAGAATGGATCTACAATTGCGTCTGAAGTAATAGAAGATGTTTCTTATACGTTAATCACTTACTTAAGTGGAAATTAACGGTTAAGTGTAACGCGTTAATTGTTAATATTAACGTTAACATCAACCGTTAACGTTAATATTAACGGTTAACGGGTTGCCGTTGACGTTAATTTCAAATTAACGGAAATGGTCCACCCCTAGTATAAGGTACTCTACTAGAAGTACAAGTACAATTGCAAGTACTCTGAGCTAAGTACAAGTATTTCTACGTCGTACTTGAAAAGTACAAAAAGTACAAGTACATGTACAAGTACTCTGAGCTAAGTACAAGTATTTCTACGTCGTACTTGAAGAGTACAAAAAGTACAAGTACAAGTATTTCTACGTCGTACTTGAAAAGTACAAAAAGTACAAGTACATGTACTTGCGTCCTACCTCTGCGCCAAACCCTCCGTACTGCTTTTGTGGGCATATGGAAGGATAGATGGATTGTTAGGGAGCCCGCAAGGAGATTGAATAGGTTGGCGTCGCTGAGTTATCATCCGAGTGATTCTATGGCAGATAAGATTGTCAAACTTTGCATGCTGGTTTTTGTGTACTCAAAAAGTGAGTATACTATAGAATGGGCCAGTAGGTCCGTCTGGCCGTTAATCCGATAACTTGTGAAAGAATGATCCAATTGTCATGAAATTTAGTACATAGCAGTATATTGTCAATGTCGCAGATGATTTCGAACATGAGCCCGATCGACTGTAATACTACTAACTTACAAAAAAATTCTCAGATTTTTGTGTGCCATGTGATACACTTTTTGAAGTACACATAACTTTCGGATAAAGTCCGAAGTTTTCGCATTTATTTAGTGATAGTGTTATCGATAAAAAAAATCAATCATTGATAATCTTATAGAACAAGAGGGATTCTCATCTTACATATTCCATCCATCTCTCCTTTCTAATTCAAAAAACAATTATCCTATTCTGTATAGATAATGGTGCCGAGGAGTCACATAGCTAATCACGCGATAGAAGAAGAGATATTGCGTAGTATAAATACCACCGTGTCTTTTCACCAACAAAACAGTAATATAGAACGTTTCTGATAGAGAGAACAGTGTGTTTAAAGTTATAGTACACGACTGCCCATTCTACATGCTTCATTGTCAATTTCTGTTGGCATTTATCGCCTGCATCTTCTTTTGTAATATTGAAAGTGAGCGTTTGACAAGCAAGTCGATAAAAACTCCAGTTAAATTTTTGTTAGGTGCTGTTGTGCGCTATGCTAAAGACGAAAATGTGATTACAGGCAAAGTGACACATCCAGAAGCGAATACGGCTGATTTGAATGTAAAGGCCCATGTTGAACTCCGTGATACAAAGCTCCAATCGATCAACGATCCAACAGCGTCAAGCATGCAGCAACAACCGAATGAACTTCAGGGCATTGTCCAAAGTATGAAATCCACGGAGCTTCATACGGATAAGCAAATAACCTCAACTTTCGCTGGTAAGCTTGTGGTTGTTTGTTGGAGTCTAAATAACGTTTTTTCTCGTATTTTAGATATTCTCTGTCGAGGTCAAAATCCTGAAACTGTAATCCCGTTGGAGATGGGTCGTAAATTCGTTGTTTGCCTCTATGATGGGTATAGTGTTGAGCAATCGTGTCCCAGAGGTCTTTATTACAACAATGACACACGCCGATGTGAACGCAGTATACACTTGTTCTTTTTTTCGCTTCAGGTTAACGAAAGTTTTTGTAATTATTCTAGAATCAGATCCCGTGAGAAATCCATGTGCCTCGCACCCATGTCTCAACGGTGGTCAATGTATCCCAACTGATACCATCTCATACCGGTGTCAATGTCCATTTGGTTTAGGTGGGGATGTTTGTGAACTGGATGTCTATGCGTGTGAAACTCTAAAACCATGTGGTAAAACATCCGATTCACGCTGTCAGTCGTTCCGATTAGATGCTGCTCTGAAATATGTTTGCATCTGCAATCAAAATACCTTGTATGGTCTTAACTGCCAAGAAGGTAAAACTGGTCGATCTAAAGTCGGAAAAGGCAAGATAATTCATTTCTCATGTTGTTTTAGTTCATGACAACCCATGCCAAGGTGTTAATGGAACTCATCTATTGACTTTCAGCGAGAAAGGTTTTGCTATGTGTGACGGTGAGAATACATGGGTAGAATCGTGTCCGGGTGGCACTATTTGGGATCAACTGAACGTAGCTTGTGTCTGGCCCGATATGAAAGGTCTCAGTTTGGATACTCAAGAACAGACATGATCACGGTCAAGATGATCACAAATTTCCTTTTATCAAATATTTTTCCTACTCTTGGTAGTAGTCATCTATATTTCTCGAAAATAGTGCTCACCCTGATAATCGAAAAATCAAAATAATTGCATTATAATGATTGTTTTTGTTCATTTAATCAAACTGATTTCTTGACTTTGATCAAAATAAAATAAAGAAACAAAGTTCTTCTTGTGAGTCTCTTGTATCAGGGGATGTGACGAAACCTCCAGCTACCGACTATATCGTAAGCTGAATCCACTAATCGAATGAATGGTCTGATGTATGATCAAGACTCACGTCGTGGAACCTACCTGAGGTGGCTGGAAGTGATGAGAGATGAAGAGAATGGATGTGGATGAGATGATAAGTGTGTTTTATTGGATGAAATCAAATAAAACACTAAAGAAAACGATAACAAAAAGACTGATCGAAAAGAGAGAAACAACCACATATATACAGATCGAAGATGATCTGAGAAAAAAAAAGAGAAAAAGAAGAAAACAAAGAAGAAATGCAATCACAGAGATCATCATGAGAACGGACATGATAATCAAACGAAAACTAAAACGACAGGAAAGAAAGAGAAAAAGAAATACATATATATGTATATGTATAGAAATACAAGAAAACAACTATGTAGAAGGTAGCGTCATGAAGTAATATCCAATGACGCTAACACTTCTTACCTTCTATGGTGTTATCTACCTTTCATAATATATTTTTAGAACTATGTTTTGTGATTGTTCTTCTCAATCACCAAATCTGACTGCAGCATTTAAGATATCAAAATCAAAGAATTAATCTCATTTAAACAGTACCGAACGGTAGTTCATGTGACAATCTATGATTTTACATTTCTTCTTTTCTCCTCATACATCGATAATGACCTTGAAGTGCGCTTCTTTCTCCTTCTCCCTCTCTCTTCTCTCCTTATCTTCCTCTTCTCATATATTAGCTTCTTAGCCGATGTATCCAATAAAGAGATGTTAATACATCTGTCCCTACCTCAAGTGTGACATCGAACTAGATTTTAGATACTACTTACAAAGCTTGATGTTTTTCTGTAACACGATACTGTATTTACTGAAAACTATAAAAAGAGGAGGAAAATTCAGTATAGGTACGATTTCTTTTGGACCAAATAAAAGACACATCTATCACATATTATCCTTTGTATCAGAAGTCGTCACAGTGATGCCAAGAATGAGAGAAAAAGAAATGTGACAAGGATTCAAGAATGTTATATATCGAAATAAGCACTTTTTCTTCTTTTTTCTCAACCCAGGATAAAAGAAATCTTTCTATGTGAAAATATTTTTCCAGATCGAATTGTAAATGAAAAATACTTGGAAAAAATAGAAAATAAGAAAACAAATATTTTCAAGAAATGCACAGCATTCTTAATATTTACTTAGTATCGATCGTGGTTAACTGTACCTTGTTCAAATATCACCAATGGAGATACACCTTTTGAACAAACACCAAGCCAAACTATGACTTTCAAAGGAAATTTTTTTTTCTGATGAATACCACCTTTCTGATTAGCTTCATCACGAGTTGCGGCCCAAATACGATCGTTTTGGGTATTGTAAACACCCTCAATGTCGAACATCTTTTCGTCAGAAAACAGAATTTTCAATGTTTCCTCCTTTCGAAAGTTTGTTCGTATCCAGTTAGCAAACTTTTTTCTTTTTTCTTTATGTTCCTCGGTAAGTGCTGGTTCGATCAAATGTTTGTACGGTCGACACCGAAGATCCTCTCGAAGAATTGTACGAACACTTTCGTGGGATATACCTAAATCAATTGCAAGTGTTCTAGTTGATACATAATTTTTTTGTAGCTTCTTTTTGATCTTCTTGATGGCAGCAGAAGTCCGAGCTGTACGTGGAGCACCTGGTGGTAATGATAAATTGATAGAACCCGTTTCATCAATCATTTTGTACCATCTTTTAATAGTTGCTAAACGAATAACTACATTTAAATCAAGAAAGACCTTTGTCGGATAATCACCATTTTGATATTTTAAGGTTACCACTTTCTGTAAATCTTCAGTTTTCATAATCGGAAAACTGATTTCCTTGCAAAAATGTTGAAAAGTAAAAGATGGTGATCGTGACAATTTTCCAGCGTTTATCGATAAAGACCATTGGCCACCCGACAGTCCTGATCTCAACCCATTGTATTACTGTATTTGGGATGAATTTGTAAAGATCATCAATTGGAATAAAGTGACATCTAAAACAACACTAATCCAAGAATTAAAAAAAGCTGTGAAAAAAATTCAAAAAGATGTTGTGTTTGAAAGTTGTAATTCTTGGACGAATCGATTGTATCGTATGGCTCAACATGATGGAGATTATTTAAGATAATAAAAATATATAAGTTTTGTCGAGAATTTAACGACGAATCTTTTGATAAAAAAAAAACTTTTTCGTATGAATTGAGATATGAGTGAAATATATGGAAAATACGGAGAGGCTCATTTATTCTTTGACACCCGTTACATAGTTTTTATCTCATTATTTATCGTTGATTAGTTGATTCTAACTCTTATATTAGAATACATCAAAGATACATTTTGCTAAGAGACGTAGCTATACATTTATTGAGGAATAGAATATTTTGGTTAGCATATTACAATACAACAGCGAAAGAAAGTGAAACAAAAAATTTTTTTCTTATTTCAATAGTAGTAAATACAAATGGTTTGACATATAAGGGATGAGATTTATGTAGTTATTTTTTCAGAGAACATTGCCAAAGTAGGGTCTTTGAATAGGATGGAGGAGGATTATGTTTGTCCCTCTTCGTAATTCCCTGTGACCTTTAAAAAGACACATTAGTTCACCGCGAAATAATTTACTTGATAATGTAAATAAATAGAAACTGCTAGATGGACCAGTGAGCGATATGAAGCCGATTATATTCCAAGCCAAGTTGTTTTTAGTTGATTCCACAGGATCCGATAATATTGCCACTGCTCCATAAATGTACTGAATGGAAACGGGAGCACCTGTAAGAATAAAGACTAAACATTGCACAAGAAGCATTCTAATCATTTGTTGATCTATCGCTTTTCGACGTTGCTGTATTTGGTTTCCATTTCCAGTTACATTATCCGGATTATTATTGGGAGCAATTCGCTTTATTGATTGACGAAAATTACGAATCGTCAATGCTCCCAATATGAACATGCTGAATGGTGGACCCAAGCTGAATACGAATAAATTCCAAATACCATAAAATGTTGAGTATGTACCTGGTGGCGCCAAACATGTATTAGTGTTTTGGTTCACGTAATAGAAGATAGGCACATGAATGTAAAACAAACCGACCATGATAGTTGTCACAAAAATTGCATAATAAGTAACACGAATACTACTCCATGCACGCATCTTCGCAGATGTTGAACTTGCCACAAACCTATGAACAGTACTTTGTTATACATGTTTTTGGACACTAACTAATGAAGTCTTTCCAGTTAATCCGTCATTTCTATGTATTATTCTGTTCAATGGAGACTGTATTAAAAGTACACGTCGAAGAAATTGAGAGTCGGTGAAGGTGTTGGTGTGTATACTACATCTATCTAACACCCACATTCTCACCCCAAGATGCTGTTAAAACTACAAGTAATCTCATTAATACCGGTATGTCTTAGTTATATTCGTTTTTTATCCTACTTTTGACATAGAATATCATTGTCCTTAAATCCTGCTAGCCGATTTTACCTCCCTGCAATCTGATTAACCGACTCAATCGCATCTAATAAGGTTTCATATTTGACTTTTGACCCGCCAACTTTGTCTCATATTTCCCATCCTTAATCTCCTCTAAATCTTCAACCTTTACGATCGTTTTGAAGAGAATGTTTTTTTTAATATTTGAACGAATCAAAAGAAACGTGTCTCAGCGATATATTAGAAGAGAATAGATATGCATATTACCGCTAAAAAGTTACTGTAGTTCATGAAGAATACACGAATGCTATGATATTTAGAAGCTTTTCTTGTAGGCAGCAGATCAAATCTGGGTTAGATCGAATCCAATCAAACTCGAGTTCTATTTTGTAAAACTCACCTATCAGCACAAGCCAACACAATAATCCATGAAGTTAATGCCCTAAAAAACATATAGAAAAAGCTTCGTATATTATTGATAGACGTCTTATAGAATATGATCATTTAGTGGTATATGTGATTGATTGATATAAAATTATTTTAACCCAAATATTTTTGTAAGAGTTAATTTTTCACTAAAATCATAAGTCGATATTTGTTCACAGTGTTGGCTAACCATGATTATCGATTCAGTAGTGTTACCCTCACCCTCAATGTTAACTTGAGGTTACAAAAATAAAGTCGTTTTTCTGTTAGCTTAGAGATGAATCTATTATTTACCTTGAGGTAAAAAACAGAAAATTAAAAAGTTTGCATATTAGTTTCGAATAACCACTCGGATTAATATCGTAGACAATTTGAAGAAACCGATAAGGTATACCAAAACAGACAACAAACCAACCACAGAATGTTGACGCTAAAAAATAGCGTGCACAAGGATTCATACGAATTGAACGTCGTGTAAAGATATAAATGCTTAAGAGATGTCCAATAGTACCAAGAATAATCATTGAAAAGCAATAGACTTTGTCAAATAGAATCCAAGATGCTTTCAGAGCATTGATTTCAGCTTGAACATCACTCACATTTGCTAACGTCATTTTCCTGTTTAACGATAAGACAAACACACTTCTTTCTCCAAGATTTCTTCTCTTATATACACAAAATGGTAAAGAAAATAAGCCGTCTGACAAATTCATTATTAAAATGAACTTTTTATTTGTCACCGTGAGGAAACTGGAAGAAGGGATTTATTTCTAGCCTCAAAAAATTATTGTCTTAACTGCGAGTTGATTTAGTACAGGGTGTCCGGAAAGTCATTTAACAAAAAGAAAATTGAATATCTTCTTTATTTCTCGTTCAAGTTGGACAATTTTTTTTGTTTGAAAGAGGAATGTTCGAAGTTTTATTTGATGTTAAAATGTCCTACATATATTGTTCAAAAGTGTCACCATTCACATCAATACAAAATTTTAATCTTTTCACAATACCATCGAAAACATTGTTTAATGTATCTTTTTTTTATGGCTTTGATTTCTCTTTCAATTCTGCCCTTCAAATCATCTATATCATTGACACTTGTTTTGATGTAACCCCATAAATAAAAATCAAGTGGTGTCAAATCAGGAGATCGAGGCGCCCAAGAAATTGAACCACCTCTACTGAGCCATCTGTCGTCTAACTTTTCGTTTAACCATGCACAAACTTCTTTTAAAAAGTGTGGTGGGGCACCATGTTGCTGGAAGATAATTTTATTTGTAAGTCTTTTTCTTTGTATAATCGAATAAACATAGTTTTTCAACATATCGAGATAATTATGCTGATTGACCGTTTTATCTCCAAAAAAATATAGACCGATTATTTCTTTGTTGGACATTGCACACCAGACGTTGACTTTAGCGGATTTCATCGCACTTTCCATAGTAATGTATGGATTATTCTCGGCCCAAACACGGCAATTATGCTTGTTCACAAGTCCTGAAATATAAAAGGTTGATTCGTCAGAGAAAAAAATATTACCGCCAGTTTCTGCATCTTCAAGCATAGGTATTAAATGCTCTGCCATCTCTACACGTAAATCCATATCTCCATCGTACAAATTTTGGGTACTATGCATCTTATAAGGTTTATATCCAAGTATCTCACGCATTATTCGATGTGCTTGATGTTTCGTAATGCTCGCATCTCGAGTAACATTTCTTATGGTGTTTAGTGGTTCATCTTCTAAGACTTCTTCAACTTTTTCAATTTTCTCTTCGGTTATTGTTGACGATCTTCCTGTACGAGCTAAGTCTTGAACTGACCCGGTTTCAAGAAACTTTGGATATATTGATGTAATGGTCTGTCAAACTGGAATATCAGTGACCCCTTGTCGTTGTAATTCGCGAATAACCATTGTAGGAGATTCTGATTTTGCCATTAAAGTTACTATTTTAATTCTAGTTTCTAAAGAGTATGACATACTGTAATCTGAAGGAACAAAAAAAAATTTTCCATCTTGGACGAGAAATGAAGAACACATTCAATTTTCTTTTTGTCAAATGATTTTCCGGACACCCTGTACAAGAGCGGTCTTTTCAGCATCAAATGTAGTAACTAGTTGCAGTACATCTGAAAAGTTAAATAAATCCTTAGTGGAATACTGGATTAAAGAGGTTCTCAATAAAGTAGTCAGCAATCGATTCCTTCGTATAGTCGATCAATGGTCACCGCAGGCTGACATTACTGCATATGAAAATAACCTAACAAAAGGACAGTCATGTAAATTATTAGTGATACCTAGGAAAGCAACATCAACTAAACAACCGTGTGATACTTATTTTTCCGACAATGGAAAGCGTTAACGAACAGAATATATCATCATGTGTCTTTAGACGAATTAGATGTTGACTTAAGAAGTCGTGACGCTAAAATCAAACTACAAAGTTTAGCTCATAATCAACTGAGTTCTTCTTTATTTATACCAATAATTTCATACGCATGGCCAACTTGCGGTTACATTCCTGAACAATACTCGAATTTTTCAAGCGTTACAGAAGTCTGTTTTCCTTTTGATGCAGACAGTTGCTCAAATAATAATTGTGAACACAGTGCATTTATTTGTTGTAGTCATCGTAGACGAATATTGTGTTTCGAACATTTTTTCATCGCGTATCATTTTCATTGACTATGTTCTTCCTATGTTTTTCGAATAATACGAATGAAACGATAAAATAATAGTCTATGCAACTCGAAACACGAAAATGATGAAGCTTAAACTTCGGAATGTAAAAAAACTGTCTTATATAACTTCGGTTGGGCAAATCCTGTTATGTAAATAATATTGCCATGCACAAAGATACCCTTGAGAATACAAAGAGCACCGTTTTTTTTTAAATAGTTTTGGGCGGGATATGTGAGAATGAGCGGCTCAAAGTACTATAAACAATTTTAAAATTGCCTTCCTTTTAGAATGTTGTGCTCAGAAGTTCGAGATTTCCAGTGTTATCCTGTGCAAATAAAACTTACCATTTTTCTCATTTGAGGTCTATGGGCAAAAACAAAACATACCACAAGAATCAGCTCGTCGAGCTCTACAAATTGGTATATATCCCATTTAAAACTGAGACTCACACTTCGATATGTTCCCTCGTCAGTGAGTGACTTCACAAAGTTCTCTCATATTTTGGAATAAAATCTATTTGAATAGATACATTTTCACATATTCAATTCAAGTTCTCGAGTGAATTCAATACACATACTCGAAAATATTGTCGAGATTATAAAAGACCACACTATCATCATCGAACATTCGAAATCAATGTGAAGAAAAGCGGCATCTATGCTATTTGGAGTCGAAGTGAAATGGACACTTATGGATACATTTACGAAGATAATTTTGATCCATTACAACCATTCGGTAATTTAATCGCTCAACACGGTGGAAAATGTAATCAACATCAATTGAAATTCTTCATTCATCTTCAAGAAAATACAAAATATATTTTAGTCGTAACAACATTTTATCCAAATAGAATTAGAAATTTCACGATATTCATATCGAGTGACAATCATTTCATTGTTGATCATTCTTTCGATTCGAAACAGCGTTGTTGTTCACTTGGAGATCGATGTTATTTTTATTCGACGAAAGTTGGTTTGTCACTTGACGATCTTTTACGTAGTGAAAATCAATCATTGCCCGTTCAAATAACTGCCGCTGTAACGATTATGATATTCATCATAGGATTGATCGACCGTCTTTTCTCTTGTTTAACATTTACGAATAGGAAAGTTCGACAAGTTGGAGGTGAATTGTATCTTTTGACATCATCGATCGCTTCTCTTCTGACAAATTCGATGTTTTTCGTCAATTTTTGCTTTACTCTTCTCACGCGGATCAACGTATCAACAAGTTATTCGATTCTTTCGTAGTGGTTGCATCGTTATTGAACCAATTCTCAAACTTTTTCTCTATTTTCATCTTCTTTGTCTGTTCGTTATTAAATTATCTTCAGTCCTGTTTATTATTTTTCAACAACGATCAGTAAGGTCAGCCGATCACCCATTTAATGAACATAAACACTTAATCGTGAGCCCTCTCGTCTTATTAATCTTATCAATACCTTATTTGATTATTTCATTCTTACTTGGACTTATAAGAACATCAGAGAACGCTTGGTTGTATTTAACTTCTTATTTCACTTCATTTCATTTATACCATCAATGCTTATCTTTCTAATCTTCGTCTTACCTACGAATATTTATTTGAAATCATTTCAAAATTCGATTAAGGAAATGTCGACATTGAAACTCATTTCGTATAATGTGACACAATTGATTCCGAGCACAATCGATTGCTATGATCACAAGGCATCAAAGGAAACAGTTTTGCGTAAAAATAAATAAATGAAATTGAAAAAGATCAATTAATCAGTGTGTTTGATAATGAATATCACCAAGAGAAACAGTTGCTGATAAGATTTTATGCCATTGTATATCAAAATGATGAATTGATCCGTCTTGTGCAATTATATCCCATCAAACATCATTGAATCCGAATTGAGAAGAATATTTATTTGTTGGTGTATCACATGATACTAAACTAGTTCGATTAAATTCATAATTGTTATCGTTGTTGATGTCCATGATCACACAATTCTGAAAAGCTGTCGAAATTGATTGGGAAGTCATAATATTGCTTGTTTTTCAAGAACATTAAAAATAACGGACTTTGTTCTGATGGTTCTTCAGATGACTGTTTATTTTGATAAACGAAGAATGGTGACACTAACTAAAAGATAAAGATCATATTTCATAAACAAAAGCAGCTGTATTTTATCGAATTTACGGATGACTTATCAAGATATTTATTAATGCAAACTAATCCACGAATATAAACTATATTCTGTTAAAAACTACGTTCATTTCGAAATAAATGACATCGTATATAGATCGTACACGGGAGAAATAATATCAAAACGACAAAGAGAGAATAATTACGTCGAACTGTGCAAAGAGAAATGATATCGAAGTGAATAAAAGTAACAGTGAATACCAAGAGCGAATATGCAGAGACGAACAATGAAAGAGACTAAATATATAAATATCTACACAAGAAGAGAGTGAATACATTCTCGAAACAGCAGATAGATATCGAAAGAAATTTAAGTGACGGACTATTGCACGCCACATAATGGATACATTGTTAGCGACGAAAACAGAATAAAAAATATCGTCTGAAGGAAAGGGGAAAAGCACGATAATAGTATGAATAACACATGCGTTGTAAGTACATAGAAAATGTTGTAGAACGCAAGAAATATCGCAATCAATGAAAAATTCTGCGTATGGATAAAACAGCTACAATAAGACGTATTTACTAAAGCCATAACACATAGACACGACAATATTCGTGAGATCACTTTCAATGGTGAATAAAATCTGAATTAAGTTTTTATACTCTTATTCAATGATAATATGCTGCGTTTAGATAGGTATATAAATACATATATAGAAGATGTCTTATCATTTTATTCAAATATATGCGGGTTAAAAATAATACAGAGGAAGTATCATTCTATATGAGTGTCGGTGATGTCAGTGCTCAGTAAACTGACACCGTACATCCCTATGCGTTTGTTTTTAACAACGCGTTAGCTACGGCAAATGTTTCGGTTATTTTGCGTTTTAAACGCATTTGTCCTTTAAAAAAATCTACATGGAGTGTTATCTTTATTCATACGGCAATTGCATTTTTCCACTCATTGCGTTGTTTCTTTTTAAAAATTCGTTTCTTCCTAAAGAAATCAATATATAATATCAATTATCATTATTATAAATACACACATGCTTTCTGTTGACTCTATTGGCGCAAGTACACAAATGACTTTTAACGGAAACATTTGGTGTTGTAGCTATGTGCTATGTTCTATCAACAAAGTGCTAAAAGAAAGAAAAAGAAACAATATATGTTATTAAATGAATATTTAATGTTAAAACAAAGACTTATCTAGCCTTTTCTTTTAATGAACAATTGCTAAACATAATATTGGATACTGAAAAAAAGATTTCTCCTAGTTTATTTAGGCTTTTTTTCTAGTAATGATACCATACATTGATATAATAATATAAATTTGACTGAAGCAATTGTATTTATGAAAACGTCGCCAGTTAAAATGAATTCTTTTGATTGAAGATTACTCTTATTAAGTCAGATTTTCTTAATGCTTTGCACTCATTAACATTGATCTATTACAAGGATTTAAAATGTAGACATATATTTGTTTTTGGAGTATATTTGAACAAAGCTAGAACAAGTTTTTTCTGAATTAAACAAAAAAATAATCGCTATCATTGGCATAAAATTCTTCCCAAGAAAAAAATTTAAAAGAATTTTTTACATTATACAGATGGATAGCAACAGCATATATATAATGTATGAGAAAAATAGAAACGAAGTCATCAAATATCTACCTCTCTCAAAACATGGTATGCAGGTTCATTCTAACTTAAATTTATTTCTTTAAGTTTTATTCTTGTTCATGATGAGTTTGAAACGAATTTTGCTATTACTGCTATATGTTTGCACTGTAAAAGCAGTTACACAAAATATTCGATCATTTCGTATGTTTAAAATGACGGGATGGCAATTATCGTGTGCTAGTACAACATGTTTACCATTTGCTACGACGGCTGCACTGAATACTCGTACATGCCAGACAGCTTGTTTAAATCAAGCTAAATGCAAAACAGTCACTTTTCATCAATCCTCTTCTACTTGTGATTTATTTTCCAATATACCAAGTTTAAATGAAAGTTTGGTGGCTGATATGAGTTCTGTTACTATGCTTGTCATGGCTGGAACAAGAATTCCACCAGGTTAGTATGAGTACGAATGGGATAGCTACTGTCTACGTAAAAGAACGGTAAAATGAAATAAAATTGTTTGTTTGTTTGTTTGTTTCTGCCAAGATTAAAGGTCAAACACATACTATCGGATATTTTGATGCTATTCATGGCTCCTCCTAAGGCGCATTTTAGAGCTATTCATAGGTCTTCAAGTACCGCCATTATGCTGTATCCATAGTTCTGATATAACCCATTTTTCGGGTGTCCATGTGTCCACGTTGGACCCACTGTGGGCGAACTCTTAAGTTGCTATATGCCTTATCATAGGCATACCTATAGGTCCTCATGCGTGTTCAAGTCGCACATATTTGCGCTATCCTTGGACTCCTAAGTAGCCATTTTTAGGGAATCCAAGAACCATAATGTCACCCACTGTGGGCATACAAATGGGTCCGCATGTGGCGTACTATTTTCGCATCCCTGTGTCGTTATCAAGCGCATTTTGACTGCATTAATGTGTTCTCATAGATCCCCAAATCTTGTACAGAAAGGGTGGTATCTATGGATTTTCAGGTCCTTCACTGTACAGGTTCCTAAGTAGCGTACTTTAAGGACATCCTGGCGTCCTTCAGTCACGACTGGCTTAGAAAGTAATAGTTCACACTTAAACAAAAATTTGAATTGTTCGCCCGTACAAAGATGCTGGACTAGTTCGCGTTACTAACGATACAGAAAACTAGCTTTTTCTTGCACAGTCGAGGTTTAAGTGAGTCGTCATGACGAACGTCACTTGTGATATCATTCTTAGAAATATGATAAGAGTATCCGAGATCACTCTTCTACTGTACTTACTATTTGTCGACAACAGGATTCTGGAAAAAAAGTCGAAAAGTTCGCTTAATCGTTGAGAACACCGTCAAACACTGTTTTTTTTAAATATGCGATGAAAAATCGATTCTTTTTCTATTAACGAATTAAAATAAATAGTGCTCGTCGAAATTGACTTTTAAAAGCAAAATCATTATCCCAAATGATTGCCAAGCGACCTAGGGCAGCTACTCTCGCTCTTCAATCCAGCAAGCATGCGATTATCAAAAGAAGCTTCACTTATCTTAAAAGACTTACGATTGCCTATGAATTAGCACCCAAACATTGCTAGATTTTTCCTTGACCTGAGAAGACCTACTACTACCATCTAACCGCTCCATACTCTCCCAAATCACTCAGCTTACTGATCGATTCCATCATTTCTGTGACACACCCAGGGGTGATCGCTTAACATTAGTGATAAAAATTGCTAATACTGTTGCATTAAATTAGAAAAATAATTTAATGCTTTTGGTATTAGACTTAAAAAATTAATTTAATACTTTGACATTAGTATGAATTTAGTATTACTCTAATACTAATATCTGCTACATTTATGTATGTCGTTTTCAAACGCATTCTTCCAGTCCTAATATCACACTCTGTTTGTAAAGTTCTTACATTACTTGTAATTGAACAGTTGTGTATACTTCTCAGAAAGAAGCAGACATGTCGTATGATTAAAACACTACCACCGCAATACCTCCAATGTCTCGTTAACTGCTTCAATTCATGGTTAAAGGACTGTCGATACCCAGAAGTCTGGAAACTTGCAAGGATAATCACGCTTAGTAAGCTAAACGCAGGCATCCCTCAAACAGACCAAACTCGACCTATCTCATTGCGACCCACACACTCTAAACTTTTCGAAAAAATAATTTTGAACAGAATCAGATATTGGGCGGAGACTAATCATTTAGTACCTAGAGAACAATCTGGTTTCAGATCCGGCGGTTTGCTAAGTACACGTGTACTTTCAATATACCAGAAAATCAAAAACGAACTAGCGGCTAACATGCCATGTCTGGCGTTGTATTTCGACTTCAAAAAAAGCNGGGAAGACATACACGTTATATGAACAGAACAAAAAAAAAATGCGCGGTAGTGTCAATGCGCTGTAGTGTCGTGCGCGATAATGTCAATGCGCGGTAGTGTCAATGCGCGGTGGTGTCGTGCGCGGTACTATCGTGCGCGGTACTGTCGTGCGCGGTACTGTC